CAGTGGCGTGCAGTCCATATAGGCGAAAAGGCTTTGCCTACCTATAAATATCGTGAATATATAACATACATAAAATGTACAAACGCGTTTATTAAAATTCAATAATATAATAAAAGTTTGTAAAAAAACGGCTAACATAAATACGCGCCTTTGTAAAGTAATGAATGCGCCCCGCACGCACCACGCATGCGCCACTATTCCTTAAATCTTGGTTGGTAGTAGTGACGTCACAAAAGAAATGTACCAAAAGTATGCACCGCGCATGCGTGAAGTTCACGACCATAGTCACGGTACAGAATAACCATTCATAATTATATTACACGATTCCTGTTGATTGACAAAATGTTTGCAACTAAAAAATTAGAGGACCGTTCGTTCATCACTTGGAAAACGATCGTATTTTATTAAGAATTCTAAAACAATAAAACAGCAACAAGTTATTGTATTTTTAAAAACAATTAAATTATAAAAGGTTTTAAATTGATAAAATCTGTATATCGTAAAGTACTGATGAATGGAGTACATCAGCGCCATCTATTGAATTTTTTGTTGAAACTTCTGAACTCGTTCGATATAATGCGAATGTATTTTTATAAATGCGTATTTAACAAATATGTTTCAAGTGTTTTAATTAAAGCTTAACATTTTTACGCGTTGTCGGTTTATAGAAATTTTAAACGAGGAGTTGACTTTATTATTATAAAAGTTAAAAGGAAGTTATTGAAACTTCAAGATGGCGCCATTTACAACGTTTCAAATTATATGAATGAATGTTTTTTAGTATGAAATATTGGTTTAAGACGATGATGCAATTTCATTTGACTTACTAAATTAACCTTTGTTTTTTTTAAATTAAACGCTGCATTACCTTAATTTTTAAGCTACATTTTTTTATAATAAACACTCAATTGACTATTGGTAATGACTTCAATTCGTTTCCAATGTTTTCGGCCATATTGTTTTCATGTGATGTGCGATCGCTTTGTTTATGTTTTCGTTTAAATTATTAGGAATTAGTTTTAAACATAAAGTTGCATAAATGTGTAGTAGTAGTTAAATATATGTGTAGGTTTTTCAAATAGTGTATTTGTTTATCAGTTTCTAGTACAAGTACCTATATTATTCGATTGTGAAGTGTGTGTGAATAATAGGTAATTTTATGTGTTTGTTGAAAGTAAAAACAGTAAGATTTCGCAAGAAAATGTCCTTTATCGGACTAGATTCAGGTAAAGACCATAGGCAGAGGTGTACTCGAGTTACGAGAATTGACCCAAGTAAAAGGTAGGTAATGTAAATATGTACTATAATGGATCTTTTATTTGACTTTCTTGTTTATTGTTTGATAATTCTTAAAAATATCAACTTAGACTTCGGGTTGTACTGATTCACATATTAATTTATTATTAATAATTATGTAATGTAGTAATAACATATGTACCGCATAGACTCGGCCGGCTCGGCCACAGCCGGCCGCGCTTGTTATTGTTTTGTTTGTTGACATAATGTAGGTACCTACGCTCTTAAATTCGTAATATATTATGATTTTGAACAGATTGATTAAACTAAATAATTCCATAATGAAATTTGGTTCATCAAATTTATGCCTTATTATTAAAATAAATAATAGATCCTTCATTATTTGTAAGTTTTGTTGGCTTATTCAATAGCTGATGAAATACTTCACAAAAAATACGCGAGTTGTCAGTGTATGTAATTTGGCGAAAGAATACACCACAATATTCTTGAACGCACTTTTCGAAATGTATTATGTACATGTACCTATCTTGTGTGATCATGATTGTATGACCGGCGGGGGAGAGGGGTTTAATCATACGATATTTAGTTGCCTACCCTGTCTCGAAAACCTGTGCACGCCACTGGCTGTGCGGAATCCAAGTTGCTTTCGCAATGGTGGCAATTTGTTGTAGCCTCTCGCCCAATCTTGTTCAGGTACTCACCGAAGCAACCATGTCCGGTCAGCACCTGAGTGAGCCTGAAGGAGATGCGCTCCTCTCTCTTCAGCCAGGCTTCGAAGTGCGGCAGAATGGCTTCGACAACGCGCTTGCGTGAGTATTCCGGCTATTCTAACCGCTCACGCCACCGCTCAAGCGCGTGTCGCCTTTCCCGCCGCCTTAGCCTAACGAACACCGTTTCTGGCATCCTTCCGCCGTTTTGGCGGATTGAGCGAATTTGGTCATAGACTTTCGCGTCCATATCCGCCAGGATATCCAACGGCGGAAAACGAGCCAGTATAGTTGCCGCCTCAAAGGACACCGTTCGGTATCCTCGTGCGATCCGAATGGCCATTTTCCGCTGCAGACGATTTATTTTCGTTCTGCAACGTCGGACGCCTGACAGTCTAGTTGACCAAACAGGCGCCCCGTAAAGGACCATCGACCGCACGACACCCGCGTAGAGGCGACGAACTTCTTCTCGAGGCCCCCCGATATTTGGCAGCATTCTGTGCAGAGCACCCACTGCCTTTTCAACTCTGGGGACCAGGCGTTCTAAATGCTCTTCGAAGCCCCATCGACCATCCAAGGTTAGGCCTAGATACTTCAGGTATCTGCCAACCTGGACTAGCGCATCTCCCACTCGTACCGACGAACTGGGTGGCTCCCTGGTCCTCGGCAGCCTGTGAAACCACAGCGCCTCAGTTTTTTGAGGCGCTATCTTTAAGCCCAGTTCGTGTATTGAGGTAACGACTTTTGCCACACCGAGCTCTGAAAGCCGGATGGTCTCCTCAAAAGTATTCCCACTGGCCATAACCAGAGTATCGTCAGCATAGCTGGCACTGCTTACTAAGTTATGGGAGTTAGGGACAATGTATGTAAATGTACTTAAAGGAAAAAAGAAGTAATTTCCTGAAGAAATTAATACAGATATTCAAGATCTCAAACTAGCAAAGGGATTGGCTCTCGGGGATATTTTGACTGAAGTACACACGATAATCCAAAGAGGTGAGTATAATAAATTGGTATGCAGTTGCTACTAATTTAGTAGTAAGAAACAACCTTTATTACCTATTATGGGTAACAGTAAAATGTCGTTATTGGCTTCCCTATTAAGTTACCTAATATTATTTTACAGTAAAATTACCAGCTGAAGTGCTGGTGTCGCTGCTTATCAAGATGTCGGATGCTGAGGCGCGGCTTGCGTCAGGTTGTAGCGAACGAATCGAACTCGCTGCGCTCATTGCGGCTTTCCAAATCGCTAGAGATCAAGTACAAATTGGCACCACCGACACATCATGATTACATTGAAAACCATCTTAATCCCATTATATTGTTATTTAATGAAACTCTCATTGTTAAAGTCATGTTTTACTATCTATGTTAGTTGATCGAGACATTATGAGTATAGATAATAAAACAAGAGGCCTTCAAAATTTATATTTTTTTATTTTATAATCTTATCTTTATGATAGATTTTGTATTTACAGTTTCCTTATAATTACTAATATTTCAGAGATTTTGTTACAAATACAAAATTAAATGCGTAATTTTGATCGTACTGTCATCTATTCGCTCAATCACTCAGTATAATATTAATAACGTAAATATGAAGGGTACCTAATAAAGACAAATAAATTAGTTACTTCAATAGCTGGAACTAATAACTATAATATAACTTAACAGATTTTTATCTAAACATTAGATCTAGTTATATCCGATAACAATAAGTCTTATGGAACGAATTATCAAATTCTTGGTACGTTTCCTATACTAATTATGTTTAATAAGTACCTATTAAATGCACTACCTCTGTAGAAATACCTAAAAATGTAAACTGTCGTTTACGAATTCATCATGTTCCTCTGATGTATAAGTAAAATTATTTGATTGTCCAATATTGGCAATCAAACATATTTTCTTTCTTTTGTATAACATTAGACATTTATTATAATTTAATTTGTTCAGTTATGTCTTCTTGGCCGCCAAAGGGAACTCGTGGGAGCGTACAATTATTACTTTACTTCATCTAAATCTGTTGATAATAAGTAACTGTTGTAATTATATTAGCAAGATTTGCTTTAAATTGAACACAATACTATACTATAGGTGTATATAGTGTTTATCCGAATATATTAGAAACGATGCTGTTGAAAGAATTGCTGAGGGATGCGAAGATGCCGGGCGATGCAGGGGGCGCCACAGGTACACGTGGAGGCAGCGCCACTGGCCGGTAGTAAGGCCCACCATCTATGCGCTGTAATACCATAAAGTAGGTTACTTTATCTATAATTATGTTAACTATGCATGCCATTAATTTATTTTAAATCAATTAGCACTCAAATCCACTTATTACAAATATACACATTATACACTAGTCTTCTGTATTCTGTGCATACCATGCCTAGAAATTAAAAATATTTTTAATATGTACAGTATAAAATGTACTTACCCACATACTTGTATCTACAGAACATATTTACAGTGTGTCTCTGACCACAATCAACCAACATGCATTTGGGTTTTATACCACAAAAACCATACACAATATATATATACTTCCATCTTTGTCTCACGTTGTGTATTCAAAAACTAAGGAGGGCTTTGGTATTAATACTATTAAATACAATTTATTCTGTGCTATTTACGTTCATTAACTATACCATAACCGTTTAAGAGTAATCCACCTAATAATAAAAATTGTCCCAAATGTTAGTAGGTACATAAATATTGGATATCCTAATAGAGCAGTATCAAATACGGGTAAGGTGAGTAGTAGCTTATTATAAAAAATAACAACATACCTATTATGTATTTTCTTTATTGGTCTATTTCTAATTATGACTCAGAAAATTGCATTTTGCGTTTGTACTAGAATCAGAATAAGAATATTAATTTCTAGGCTAGTTGACAATTTTATTTTCTGAACTAGACATGGTATTTGTTAATTATTATGATTTATTCAGATTGTTTTGATCTGTGCTGTGATAACTAATGTAAATATTAACCGCAACTTTAAAGAAAACAAACTCTAACTAACCTAACAACATAAAAATATCTTTTTTAACAACTTCTACTGCTATCTTCTATCTAATATTGGTTCCTTGTACTTGTACCATAATTATGTTTATAAGCAAAACTACTTGAATAGATACCCAAACACATTATTATAACTTATGTGAGTCAACTACCCTATTATGTAACTACTAAGCAAGCACGTCTATGGTACATATTATACATAAATATAACACTTCACTATTCGATTACAGGTACTTCGACGTTACAATACAAATATAGTACGACGATTATATATACGATAATATTGTACGACGATTGCACACAAATCAAGCACTTACCGCGATCGCCGTCAATTGATTAAATGCAACACGCAGCTCTCATACTATTACATTAATTCCAGTACTAATACTCGACTCAATCCATACAGATAGTGTTCTAGGTGCTAGAGAACCTACAAGAAGATGCATGTTTGCAATGTTGTGCAAACCTCGTAACTTATAACTTAAGGGATTTCGAGTTATCGTTTTTTGTACATAATAAAGAGTCATTCAAAATCAGTCTTCGGGGAAAACAATAGCACCATCTTGGACAGGAGAGGTAGTTGCAGTGGGTAGTGATGTAGTCTTCAGTGACGTACCTGATGGAACGCCTACCGCCTTCGATATGTAACCCTAAGGAGTTACAAAAACTAAATAATTGTTATCAAGCCACCATTAGTGCAACTATATTACATTATGTGTTTTATAATATTTACAATAAACATACAGCTACAACAGGTATTCTGAAATTCCTATCTATATAGATCTAGATAGGCACGAAGTAGGTGCCTAGGTACTCATTAATTTGTATTTTTTTTTGTTAAGTCAGCTTAGGATGATCGCTGATCAAATTGGCTGCGAGAGGGTTGTTGACTTACGATTGAAGTTTCAAATAGCTTTAGAAGGTTATAGAATTACTTTTGTTTAGTACCTAATTATATATAGGATATTTACAGTTTATTTACATACGTGCATATAGGTACTTATTATGGACATACCTTAGCTGAATGTAGAGTAATATTTAATAACGTGGGGTGGCTGTCAATGACAATGAACTCTACTTCTTGTGGAAGATATCCTTCGCCAGAAACCTGTAAGCGCAAAAAAATATAATATCTACCTACCTATCCTGATTTTTATTATTTCACATAACTATAGGCTAGATAGTAGTCGTGTTCTGGTAGATAAGTGAAGCAAATTGAGTCTGATCCTCTTACAAAAATATAAGGGCGTGTGACAATATCCAAATGATCCTTAGAGTTTTAAGAGTTACGTGATAGATTGTACAATTCAATAATATTGTAGTTGGTTTCTAATCGTGTGCCTAAGTACCCACTCTAGTATTTAGAAGTGAATTCAGAGTTACTCAGGTTTCTAGCTATTTATAGTAGCACCTATGTTAGGTCGATAGACCAGGGTGATCATCCTCTATATGATGAAAAGATGCCTAGTGCTTTAATTCTTTGAAATAGTTAGTAATTTTTTCTTACATCAATCCTGTAGGTTCCTGGCAATAGTATACGCCAGAACTCTCCATACTTGGTGGTGTGGTACGTGACGTCACGACCTTTCACTTTGATAGCGGCGCGCTCCACAGGGTTACCATTCTCGTCCATCACAAAACCGTGCGCTCCACGATGCGCTTCGGCCAAATATTTTATCAGGGACTGCAAGTAAATAATCAACAAGTATTTAGTAAATACTTACACAATTGTCGAAGTAAACCCTATTGTATATGGTCGGTATATTTGTGTAATTGTTAACAATGTAACTTAATATAAACGTTGATCATAATGTTCGATACTTTATACGGCATTATATGTAAGAAGTACGTTAGGTAGATATAAAGTTCGAAGCTCGCCGAAACTCGTAACTCTAAAACTTTGACGTGAGGGAACTCGTGAGCTGCATGCATGTAATTTGAGTAATTTCGCATTCTACACGTTATAAATACCTACCGCTCTCGTATAATCAATGTAAGTACTAAGTAAGTATCCAATTTTTATTGATAAAGACAGCTAACAAAACAAATTAATTAAATATTTTATTCATTATCTTATCTGACGGGACGTAACTATCTTTGCTTGGTATAAATTGGTAGTACGATATAATGTACCCACCTGGCATGTTCTGTTTTGTCAAAAGACGAAAAATATAATTTAGTACTTGTAAGTAAAGTTTTTAAATTTAAAATCATTAACAGTAAGTTGGTACCTGATTTATATAAATAAGATTAGTAACTTCATTTTTACAAAGAAAATATTGATGTAAACTATATCAAGTCAGATAGATATGACACTAATTTAAAAAAATATTGCCGTGAACAGATTGTAAGGAAGACTTTTTTATGTAGGCATAAAAAGGCTACATTAAGTGTTAAAGTATCTTATCTTTATCGGTATTTTATACAGATAAGTCCAACACTTATAAATTCATCTTTCGTTAGAAGTCAAACATAGTTCATCCTTCCACATACGCGAATAGACAGTTTTGTGTGCGCAATGTTGGCCCGTTGGTTAAATATTATCGCAATAATTTGTGTCATACCCTACACAAAAGGAGAACCAAGGGTTGCAATAGCGCATTTACAATCGCTACAGTCAGTGACTGGTCAAATTGAGTTGACTGAGACGGCAAAGGGGCTACATGTCTATGGAGTTATAACTGGTTTACCACCCGGTGCTTACGGGTTTCACGTTCATGAATTAGGAGATGTTACACCTGATTGTAACCTAGCGGGCCGGCACTTCAATCCTGAGGGAGCCACCCACGGTGGCAGGGAATCCACCATACGTCATGTCGGTGACCTCGGAAACGTATTGTTCGTTAACGATCGAGCCGCATCTGCTACAGTAGACTTCGAAGATAGTGTATTGACACTTCGAGGACAAAATAGTATATTGGGGCGCTCTTTGGTCCTGCATATACACGAGGATGACCTAGGCTTGGGAGGAAACTCTACGTCATTGACGACAGGTAACTCGGGGCCACGGGTAGCATGCGGTGTCATTGGAATCAAATCACCTTATGAGCCTTGGAGTGCCGCTAGCTCTGTCTCTCCGTCGGTTCTACTATTTATCACATCTTTAACTTTATTTACTTTAAGATGGAAATTGTTATAATAAGTATTTAATTTTAATATACTCCATAGGTATGTACTTTTGTTTTTATTACGCAGAATCGTATCTATTTATGAAAATCTTAAAACATTGTTATAGAACTTTACCTATTTGTGTATATCTATATTTTAATAAATAGATCTTTTATAAAATAATATTATAAGCTTTTAATATTTTATTCGACACATATGTACGACATTTATGTATGACTATGGCAGTTTCGATTGTATCCTTTGTTTACCTCTAATCTGTATACCTTTTTAATGGAAAAAAATCATCACATGTCTCCTCCTTTGTATTGACTAAGAACCATCCCTTAAACCCCGTTCTAAGTTCGAAGGTTCGAGCCAGAGCCGCGGTGACACTAAGCAAATCGTCCGCAGCGCTCATCCACAAAACTCTTGCAGTTTGTGGACGGATGTATCCCTAGATTTATCTTCTTTAGCCCTAGGCATCACTTGAGGACATTTAACTGCACGGTTGGCGCGGTGGCTGGGCAACTAGCTGCCGCGCAACGTGTCCCGGGTTCGATTCCCGCATAGGACAACTCTTTGTGTGATCCACAGATTGTTGTTTCGGGTCTGAGTGTATCATGTGTATGTGAACTTGTATGTTTGTAAACGCACCCATGACACAGGGAAAATCAGAGTGTAGGGCAAAGCGTTTTAAAGAAAAAAAAATTGTGGCGGACGACTAATATAGCTTAGATTTTTTGAAGATTCATCATGTTAGTAACTACCAATGTACCTATGTATTAAGTATAAGAAATGACACAGGAAGAATGTTGATTTAATGATAAGCACATTTCATGGTCTTTTTTTTGTTTTTTTTTTTTTGAGGGGGTAAAACATCCAATGACTTCTCCCGCCCGGCTGAGGCGGGAGGGAGTGTCAGACTCTTACTGACTAAAAACCACCCCGTTCCTACTCCTGTACTTCGAGCCGGAGCCCCGGCAACCCGTTAAGTCTTCCGCGGCTCCGTATCGGACATTTCATGGTCTAGATAGTGAAATTGTTTTAGGTACCTATGTACGTTGAGTAGACTTAATCGTCAACTGGCGAGCGCGAATCTCGCGAGCGCGCGCGAGTTGGCACTTTTCGATTTTGCCTACTTTTTTTGTCGTCAACTCGCGCGTCTATATAATTTGATGTTTTAATGTATAGTCAGCTACAAAAACGTTATAACAAATTTAATTTAGTTAGGTACTTACCTACTATAAATGTATAAGAAACTTTATGAAATTTGATTTTTAAAATAAAACAAAATATACATCGTTTTGAAATCAGTTTATTATAAATCAACAGGACAAAATATAAATTATTAGTAGTATTTCCCTTACTAATTATCAACAATATCACATTGATTTGAGAATTTGGCTTATTATCTTATTATCTAGTATGTAAATTGTAAAAAACTAAGTAAATAAAATAGAAACAACGAAAACACTCCCCTCACATACTCGTATACAAAATTATATGTGAGGAGATTTTCGATAAATCTCATAATATAAATAATTTAAACCGTACTGAAAATTGGTAAGTATAAAATAGTAAAGCTAAACATAGTAATTGACAACAAACTGACTTATTATTGCTCACTAATAAAATCAATCTTAGGAACCATAGAAAGAGTCTTAGAAACTATAAAATCACAGATCAGATATGGTTGTAAATGATTTTTACAAAAAACGCTAAACACTATCAATAAGTAGATTCATCAATTGGCTAAGTTATTACTGACGACCTACAAATAAAACTAATCACAGACTATAAAATCACAGATCATGGTTTGTTATAAATGATTTTTATAGCAAACGTTAAAATAAACAGACTATGCTAAATTAAATCAAAAATCACAAGATCAAAAGTTCGATACATAAGTCACAACCATATCTGATCTGTGATTTTATAGTTTCTAAGACTCTTTCTATGGTTCCTAAGATTGATTTTATTAGTGAGCAATAATAAGTCAGTTTGTTGTCAATTACTATGTTTAGCTTTACTATTTTATACTTACCAATTTTCAGTACGGTTTAAATTATTTATATTATGAGATTTATCGAAAATCTCCTCACATATAATTTTGTATACGAGTATGTGAGGGGAGTGTTTTCGTTGTTTCTATTTTATTTACTTAGTTTTTTACAATTTACATACTAGATAATAAGATAATAAGCCAAATTCTCAAATCAATGTGATATTGTTGATAATTAGTAAGGGAAATACTACTAATAATTTATATTTTGTCCTGTTGATTTATTATAAACTGATTTCAAAACGATGTATATTTTGTTTTATTTTAAAAATCAAATTTCATAAAGTTTCTTATACATTTATAGTAGGTAAGTACCTAACTAAATTAAATTTGTTATAACGTTTTTGTAGCTGACTATACATTAAAACATCAAATTATATAGACGCGCGAGTTGACGACAAAAAAAGTAGGCAAAATCGAAAAGTGCCAACTCGCGCGCGCTCGCGAGATTCGCGCTCGCCAGTTGACGATTAAGTCGTTGAGTAGCTGTAGTTATCACATTTTAATCGACGTAATTCCTATTTGCTGTTGATACGATGAGGATTATACAGAGTGCAACAATTAAGCCTAGCCAATTCGAAATAAAGACAAATACGTAACTACTTTAACTTTACTACATCAGGTACAGGTACCCATTACCTGTATACATTGCATACTTAATTATTATAATTGAATGTATGTTACCTGTTTGTTGTCTTGCCAATACTTGGGCAACTCATGTGCCGGGGGATATTTGCAGCACGAGATTTCTAACGTAATCTCCATACATCCATGCCACAGGTAGTTGTAGTCCTGCATGCCGCCTGCAACGAGAACAATATTTTTATTTTATTATTTGGTACTTTATTTTGGAATTGGAAAATACCTATTGAAAAAATTATGATTTCTACGGTGCCACAGACTAGGTAGGTGCACCGAGCACATTCCCACACTGGCGGTAAGCAGGCTTTAAAATATGAAAATAAACATGTGTAGTTAACTTCGCAACGGTTTCTACTTACGTTATACCTACGTAGATAAGCAGCCGTGTTTGCTCAAAATTATGACCATACCTGTGAGAGGGTACCAAGCCGCCCCGTTAGTGATGCCTTTGTCGAACTTTGGCGAGCCTTGTTTGCAAGATACTCCGCGGGACATCTTGGCGTGGTTGTTGGAGTAAACCAACGACAGGTGACGGAACACATCGTCGTCCGGCGCGATCGAGGGCGTGTGTGCATAACTTTGGAAGACTGCATTTAAGCCACATGTTGAAAAATAAACAAATATTATTAGGTATAAGTACTGACATTCATTCGAATGGAAAATACATAGCAAAATATTTTTACAGTTAAGAATACTTTACCCGAACATAGAACTGATGATCTGCAAATTCCTGATATGCGTGAAAATTTAAAAAAATATTTAGGAAGGTTCCTCATTTGTAATGAAGCTTGTACGTAAAGCCACTTGATTGGATTTAAAAATGAAACGCCTATGTATTAGGTTTCCATTGAATGCGTCTTGCGTCGACCTGCACCTTCGTTCCGACGTCATATTGCAACCTGCGCTCCACTTTATTAACGAATAGGGACTCTCTAGCCGGTAGCAACGTAATTTAGAGATTACAACAGGTAACATCCAGGTAAGTACCTAGTTAACACCCTCTTCGCAATAAATTACGAGTAGTTCATGAGAAAAAGAGTAGTTGAAAGGTAATAATTCTACCTACACTTAATCCACAAATGCATTATAGTAGTTATACCTATTATAATGAAATATGACCGGAAACACGTGAAGCCGTCGATTATGGAACACGGTAGGAAGCAATAACAAAAATGTAGTTGATATTTACTGGCACTGGGCGTGTTGTCGAAGGGATATGACGCGACGAGAGCGCCACCGTGCAGTGACCCGGAGAGCACAAACTGAATCTTGCTAATCCACTCCTTGATGGCTTCGGTCTCCGGTTGAGGCTGCTTAGTGTTAGCCTTAAAGAAGTCTGGGAAGTTTCTGTTCAAGTCATAGCGACGAGCGTTATGCCTGAAATTAATACAATTGATAGTTAATTTCACAATCATCAACATTGTAACGAAATCGCAAATCGTTTCAAATTTCATGTATTTAATGTCACTTTATTGAAATCATAAAAGCGCAGATTCATTGAAGTTCCATACCAACGAATATGTAGGTTAATCGCACACAATGCAATGCTATTTAGTTGTCACTATTTCCTATAGGCTGTGTACATTCGTATAATGCAGTATAAACATGCAGCGTTTATGGTTTAGTTATGATGTATTAAAATTACCTTCCATAGGTGTTATCACATTGTCCTTCTTTCGAAATAGCGAAACCGTCTGGGTTCATGGATGGCATCAAATGGATTCTAGTATTGTCCAGCAACCATTTTATGTACGGGTCGGTGTCATAAGATGTCACGAGATACTAAAAAATATTAGTAGTATGTATAAAATGTTTCTGCTACATTCCTGACCTGCATCACAGGGTGCATCGCGAGGCAAGGCAAGGCAAAGGTAACGATGTCCGTGGGATCAAAAAGACCCCATTCGATCGGCCTTTGGTACGTTTGACTTCAATTCTCAGTATTAACTCGGAAGTCTTGAATTAAGCCTTGGATATAAAAATAGGCTCCGGATGCTCGTCCATTTAATATATGAAAATAATTTAACTAGTAAAACACACATAACATATGTATAACGTTTTATCGTGAAGATCTGAATATACCTACTTAATACATAAGAATGTAATAACTCTCGACTCTGACGATATTTCAAAATCGCCGATTCGTACAACTTGAAACATCAACGTTTCAAATATGCTAGCGATTAAATCAACTCTTTCGTAATATAGCTCGTTAGTTATAATATCTAAGTAAATTACTAAAGACTTGCTAAGCCTCGCTTATAATCCAAGTAGATATACTTAGGTAAGCTAGATTATTAGGCACTTGTTCTTTTAAGACTTTCTCGGTAAGTACATACTCTATATATTTATTTAGGTGTACTAACTAGCTATTTTGTATACGTATAACTTTATTTAATCCGATGCTGAATGCTCATTAAGATAAGGAAGTGGTCTGCTACAAGCACCGGTTATAGCAACTTACTTGAATAAGATGTAGTATTAGCTCGCGACCGACGGCTTCGTTTCCGTGAATGTTGCCGACGTATTTAACATCAGGTTTTCCTATCATGTGCTCGTATGGAGACGCTGACACCACCATCACCCATAGATCTCGGCCTAAAGTAAAATAAACTTTGTTAGAGCCAATATTACTACAAAGCAGTCTCACCTCGATTTCAGATAGAATGTACACATGTGAAATAATGTATGTATTAGTAACAGATAGGCATCTAATGTAACTGTTTGAACAATGTGGCCAGAATTGTCAGCGACGCTAATACCAACCTTGTACAGATTTCCCAATGGAATAAAGCGCTGTTAGGGCCGGGTATCTCGCAGACACGGATCGCAAGTATCTGGTCATTTGATCATGGTCATGGTATCGGAATTCCAGATCTGGGCCATTTTCTCTGGACTCGACTTCGCCCAAATTCGTTGATACTTCATCTGTTAAAAGAACATGCAATCAATTCTCAGATATGAGCTAAGTTGACTACGTAACAAAAAGCAAAAAGTTTCGTAGTGACTAAGTGGGAAAATCCCCAACATATATTGACAAAACATCTTCAAGAAATATCAAGACCAGTTTTTGCAATGTTTATCCTTCTCTGGTTTGTTTAAACGCATATTCTTATGCATAAATATTGGCTTTTTTAAATTAAGTTTAATTAAGGCCTATGACAGGGAAGCTAAAGAAGAATTCGAATAATAATGACGAATCCAGTTCGCCAAAGGTATACATGACCTGAAATAATGGATAATGTGATAAATACTAGACAGTAATTATGGTTATTTTTACAGTTACCTTAAAAAAAAAACCTTCTCAGGCTGAAATCGCCTTTAAATAGTAAACTATATGGCTCTTTTCCACCAAAAATTGATAAATTACTTTGCATCGTACCTGGATTATAAGTAGGGTCGGAGATAGACTGTGAACATGCAGTTCCCAGAAAAGTCAGCAAAAAGCAAATGCGAGCTATACTCGCTTTCGTACCGCCAATCATCTGTAAAACAACGAAAAAAAAAACATCTAAGCGTATTATCTACATCAAGACTAAATTCACTTATAACTACCATTAGGTAGTTAAGATTAGATTTGAACTGTATTTCAATTTTAAGTTTAATTGTGTCGTATAACTATTACTGCGTTTTTTAAAACAATAAGTAAGTAGTTAACTTGTAGTAAGTTCCTGAAATTATTATTCGTTTACTTTTCCTACATGAGCGACAAGAGCAAAAGAAATGATGTGGGTCTGTTAACTCTTAAGTCGAAGCTATTTAATATCGTAATATTTTGATACTTAAATGAACTTAGCTTCCAAATAACATATGATCCAGTCTAGAACTCTAGATGGCCTACTTGCCTTTAGCCCCTATAGGTTTCCTATGTATAGTATCACCGTTTACACAGTTTGTGTTCGTGTTACGGACACCATTCCATGAGCTTTCTTTTGGATGTTATAGTAAGTAATGTTTGGGCCAGCGCACCAGTTTTGTGCGGCGTAACCGGTCGCTGGTTCAAGGTCACTGGGTTAGTGGCCCGACCTCATACCCAGCAGGCCGCTGTGGTAGCTTGGTATTATGGTATTACCTTACACTGCCACTTCTTTCTCTGTCTCTTTTTTGCGAGATAATAATTACCTATACTTTATTATGCAAAGTTTTATTTATAGCCTGGTATCCATTCAAGTGTCGTGGTTCACCGTGTGTGGTATATCAGTGAAAACTATGCACCTTTTAGCTAGATATTTATTAGATGAAATTTCGTAACAGATGTGAAGTTCGTGTAGCTACCTAACCTACTTACATACAAAATATGTATCCAAGAAACACTGGTGTGAGGTGATATAGGTAGGTACAATAGACTATAATATGGATGATGCATAATCGATATTACTTACGTTGTCCTGGCAAATCTTATTGACATCATCATAATTTACAACGAGGTTACGGACGTGTACTAAGTAAACGTCGCTAGTAAACATCAGCGTGTTTGAAAACTTTCTTTTATTTATTTTCTCGGGGCGTGACTTGTGTGATTGCTAAGTGTTACCGCTGATGCCACGGTCCTGTCATGTCCGAAGCATTGTTCTTGTCGTACAGTAGGTTATCATTCATATCGCAATAACATCACGTACGAGGTAGGAATTGATTCATTTTTTTTCGCAGGAGCTTTGATGTTTAATGTGAATCATATATTTTGGAATGTTGACTGTGGTGTACAAAATTACTGAATGGGAAATCGAACCACACAGAGTGTGCATTATTACGACCATTCTATAAAACAAGGCAGTTGGGCAACGTGTTATACGTTGGCAGGTAAAGCATTATACAAATAATGAGGTGACTCAAATATGAAATAATATAAAATATAAATTTATCCAGAAAATTCAAGAACAATACCTGTTGTGCGAAGCCCGAGTGTTGCCGCTGTACTGGCCCGCTAGTTTCTTTCTAATTAGGTCAATCCGAAATAAATAACAAAGAAGTGCTAGTGCTACATAGCTACATGATAACTATTTTCTAATTAGGGTTTGTTTCATGGTACCTAGACAGGTTAACTTAATCAGATGATTAAGTTTCTGTTCTATCGTATTTTCCATAGGAAATATGTCAGTTAAAATCAGGAGTATCGTTCCTTTAAAAGAGATTTTATTTTTAATTAAGTATGTACACCTGCCCACCGCCGCACAGTGTCTGTCTCTCTGCTAATTCGTGACAAACACATGAACTTATTGAAACTCAGACACTACAGAGATAGTGTGGTCGTGTGGAATTCGTGAAAATTTGAGAATTTTAGAAACTGCACGTGTAGGTACGGTCAAAAATCTAGTTTTTTAAATAATTATTAACGGATACATATAAGGTTACATAAGTGTTTATTATAATGTGACTTGGTCACCATTTCTTATGACTACATTTTATTTTTTATTGCAAATATGAAATTGGCTGCATTAAATTTATGATCTTTGTAGGGAGTCATCATTTCTATTAAATAAACACCAGTTTGAATAACATTTGAAGACTGGTTTTACTTGACATTAGGTGTCTTCTGTGCACAGTGTAGCCTGTTCCTAATCTACCTAAATATTTTGATTGACTTAAAGCACCAAAGACCTAATCTTGTTAAACATATTAGGTTAATATTGTAAATACTCTGAGCGCCATGACTCCAGTCCTGCAGTATAAAACATTTATGGTTTTTTAGGTCATACCAGCAAAAATTAAGACATTGTAATTCTCAGACCCAGTACCTGCTACCACAGTAGATTATCTCAGTACAGAAATTGGAATCACATTGTGTGTGTGACATAACATCATCACGCCTTTTATCTCCGAAGGGGACTACATAATTTCAGAATTGGGCACTATTTATGAAATGCTAAAAGGATTCTCTGCCCCAGAAAATATTTTTTTTAAATATTATACTTCCTAAATGTATTATTTATTTAAATTTATTGATAGAGAATCTTTGTAAGTGAAATGTATCAAGGTGTGTGCTTTGTTAATATGGTTGTTAATATATCAGCGATTTTATGTATTTTTTGAGTCAACACTCTGAAATAGTGTCTCATTACATAGTAGTCACCGTAATTTTGTAATTTTTTTGTTGACTGAGATCAGGTCTCAGTCGACAGTAGGATTGAATAATATTTTATGACGGTTGTGGATTCTGGAATTAATTGAATTTTTGTAAGGTACCCAGTTAGGTATAAGATGCAAAATATCATATCTAGTTAGCATCTAACTCTTCTTTTTTAAATCCAATCAAACGAGCTGACGGAACAACTGATAGTAAATGCAGCAGTTATAAGAATGTTTTACACTATAATGAGAAATGTATTATTCAGTAAAGGTTACTATTTCCACTGTATTTCGATACATTATCGATAATAATAAGACATTGTTAAACCGTAAGAAATAAAAACGCAGATTGATCTTAAAAAAAAGAATATTGTAACACTAGAGATCATTTGAAACTGGCTCTTTGAACAGTTTTGCTATTTTACATTTTTATTTTCCTTTATCAATATGATATCTGGTCTAGTCATCTCAAAGGCCTTTGGCTGCTTTCCTTCCGCCATTCGCATTGGCACATCAAACCTGTTATCATAGTCCCGCTAATTGAAAAGAAAAACTTTCGTTTTCAAAAGACCGTAACTGAACGCACCTCGGGTAATTACGCGAAGGCATTGGTATGAGAGTCATAAAGTTTACAAGATACCTAAATAACCTTCACACACATTAGATTTAAGAATTAATTCAGAATTAAGTTCAAATTCTTTAGCGATACGGTACTCCGTGCTACTTTACAACCGGATTGATCTTTTTTGGATAAAAGTATCTAACTTAATAAGCTAGCTATTAATTAGAAACCTTAATTCTTATCAATGAAACAGTTTGTGAAACCACTTACTTATAAATGCACCTTGCATTGTTAATCAACAAACAATGCAGCACACTTTTTTGTTAAGTATGTGAAAGTTTGAATCTAGTTCGTTTGAATCGACATGCCATATGAGATGTCTTGGCAAGAATAATAATTCTTTAAAATTCCAATAACATATAGTTATTAAATTATTAATTTTCTCAGAAATAAAGCTAGTAAAAAAATATGTTTATCGCAAAGATGTAGCACATGTTCCCTCTTTGTTATAAACTATTTTTTTGTTGCTTTTTGGTTTTGCTATTAATTTATAGTTTCTTTATTGTTATTTTTGATATTCCTTCACATCTATGATTTAAAGAAATCTTTAATAATTCATTAATGTGTTATATCTAACAAAGTGAACAATTTGAACACTGCCAAAATAAATTTTATTTATTCCAAATATAATAAAATGTAACATTGTATAAATATAATTATACACATATATTACTCATTTAATAAATATAAATACTAGTATTAACTAACTGACTACTTACTGATTTGTAAACAGATTACGTTTGATGGGGTTCTTAAAAATATAAACAAAGTTTAACTTTAACTTTCGCATATTAGTTGACACACAATAGTTTATTTGTAACAGTAACTGTGATGGGTTATTTAAATTTTATTAGTAGGTACTTTATGGTTGTGTACAAAATTCAAAGTTAGAATATTTCAATAACTTTATCGACACTATTGACATTAATTAGGTACTCTATATATATAAGTAACAATCTAGAGCACTTACCTTAAATCACTTTGTTATGCACTGAGTTAACTATCTGGCTATCATTTACTTTGATTACAATAATTAAGTAAACGACAACTTAGTATGTACTCGCGGAAAACTGAAAGTAAGTTATTGAGAGAAGTCACGTTTAAGTGCTAGCAGACGAGCGGACTCCGCTCGACTGGCAAGTACTGCCAGGCGTTGGTGGGTTCGCTATGTCACGCCGTCATCTGCGTCATCCAACACAGCACACAACCGGAAAGTGCTTTCTCTCAAAACAATATTTGTAAAACTGCTTTTAATTCCCCGCAATAAGGTCTAATTCATGTTCATAGCAGCCACCGATGTGTTCAACGTGAGTAGAAGTTGTACTTTCCACTCTAGTGGTCACAGTATAGAAGCGAGTTTATAAAAGTTGCTTCGGTCTATCCGTGACGTAGTCTGAGTATTCCCATCTCTCGTCTCAACTGGCACTTTTCCCGCGGATTGAATTTCTATACTACTTGAGACTACCCGATGTAACGATATCTTATATGCCTTACTAATTAGTTAGCGAATTAATTCCTAGGGAAAATGAAAATGTAACTTAAGGAGGCATAACATTCTGAGGCAAGGAATGACTGCATGAATGCATAGGTTTTTAAACGATTGAGGTTAATAACCAAGAAGATAATTTAATGTATATGTAGTAACTTATTATTCATCGGCACCTACTCTTGTTAACTTTTTTAATAAGCTCCTCCTTTTTAAGTCGGTTCAAAAGTGAGCAAAATAAAATGTAACTGACGAAGGGGTAAACTGACGAGTATGTATGCCTATATCAGTGGTAAAACTATATTTTCATGTTGTTGATCATTAAAATTCTAGTCAAATGACCTCAGACAACTGCAGACGGTCAAATAAATTTAAAAAAATGCATAATATAATGCAATATAGTTGATCTAGTTCTTCGCTAGTTCTAAGTTTGGCCATCGAGAGAGTTATTAATAACTCAAACGAGAATAGCTTAGGCTTGACGTCATCACGAAGCTACATATAAGATTTTTCCCAAATATCACCCTTTTGGGAAATTATACGGGTTGCTCGAGATCCGATCTCGCGGCCCTGACCTTTCGTTTGATAAATTGATTCCCATTTGAAATGAGGTTTTTATTTTTAATGTTGGTAAGTAGATATTTTTTCGCACTATTTCATTGATATTTTTCAAGTTTTTCACAAACATCGACATTTTTAGGCGGAACAGGACATGCACTCGTTAGTTGGTAATAATATTGTACGGTGAAGTCAAATGTTCAAGTAGTTTAAACAGCATCAGTTACTATGTTGGAAATCATTGCTATGAATCTTTTAACAGTACGTCACGTATGTAAATAATAATAACATTTCAATGATGAATGATCGTGATAATGTATTGATATACATCAAGTACAACGTGATCGTTGTACGTATGTATAATGTATCTAAATATATCCTAAAAAACATGCTATTCATGTAATTGTATTCTTTATATTTTTGACAATTCTTCCATACCAAAAACTGTCGAATGTCAATTTTATTATACAGTTAAGAATTAAATGATGATTGAAAATGCGGCCCTCAGTGTAGTAAGTCCGTAGTCCTTGTAATTCATAACCCATACTTTGTAGCGCTTAGTTCGTAGTATGCAGCTTGTAGGACAGTCGTAGCACCAGTTTCGTACCATGTAGTTTGTGAAGCATAGTTAGTAACACGTAGATACCGCGTTGGTCGCTATACCTTTATAATAAACAGTTATTTTATCGTATGTATAACTTATACGTAGGTATTTTGTACCGCATATTTCGTAGTACATAGTTCGTTATACGTACGTAGCGCGCAGCTCGTATCTTATGAGTGCGTAGCACGTAACGCTTAACTTGTATGTAGTTTGTATTACGGAAATAGTAACGCGTAGCTCGTAGTGCGGACTGCGGAGATCGTAGCCCGTAGCTCGTAGAGTGGAGATCGTAGCACGTAGCTCGTAGTGCGGAGATCTTAGCGCGTAGTTCGTAGTGCGTTGCTCGTACATCGTAGCGCGTAGGACATAGCGCGTAGCTGGTAGGACATAGCGTGTAACTCGTAGTGTGTCTCGTACCGCATAGTTCGTAGTACAGAAATAGTAGCGCGTAGCTCGTAGTGCGAAGATCGTAGCGCGTAGCTCGTAGTGCGGACATTGTAGTTAGTTCGTGGGATGTATTTCGTCGAGATTAGATGCCATGCATTTTATAGCCTAAGTGTAGAGTTTGTAAACTAGTTTTTGATAGTGCCATTTTAAATATGTTTTCTTTTTTCTGTCATTATTTTTCTTATATTTTCTAACTATAGCAATACTACTAACGTTCATGTAGTATAGACTTACTGATAAAGATTAATTAATAAATACTTGTCTTATCGTACTAGTGGAGTGTAATATTGGGCCTCCAGATCGCCAGACTAAATTCTCAGTGACTTAACCGCAATCTCAGTGGCCTGCCAAGTGTAGGACAGTGCAAATTCCTTATAAAAGAGGCCTTTGTTTCAATACTAATTGAACGATACAGACCTACCGGAAGGTAATCAAAAGAGTTTTGTTTGTTTCTCTCCGTCAATCTGGCAGGTTGGCGAAGTGGCTCTGTGGCTGCATGGGCAACGCAACGTATCGCACGTTCGATCCCCGAACTTACAACTTTTTGTGTGATCCACAAATTATAACACTGAGTTTGGGCGTTATGTATATGATTGGAAACGCACCCACAATACAGGAAACAACGAGAGGAGAGCCCTATAAAAAAAGGCCCATACATAAGGCCACGATATAAAAAAACCGTCTAGACAAAAAGTATTAGAGGTAGTTCAAATTTATTATAACCTTGTTTTTAAAACCACGCAACAATGCCTTTAACATTCTATCAGACACTGCACTTAGCCACATACTGTTGGCAAAGTACACACCGGTCGAACGCCAGGTGAGTACTTACATCTTGCATCTGCTGCAGTGTATAATTGCATATCTATGTGCTTAGATACATGCACTCGTACACTTGTCGAATTAACTGGTTAAGTTTTTTGACATTTCCGAGTATTATCTGTTAGAATAGGAGAGACTTTTTATATATTTTTTAAGTGTCTAACGTTGTAACACCGACTTAATGACGTAGCAGATCCGCTTTTGTATCTATTTGAGTAGGTGCGGAACCCTGGCCTGGATTCCTCCATGTTTGTAGCCTTAGTCTCTAGTTGACCTAATTTCCATTGATATTGAATGATTTGCGATCGCAGTCGCTGTTTGTGTTAACTTTCTGTCCCTCGAGATGAAAGATCCAAAAGAAGAAAAGAATATTGCTTTTTTCTTCAGTAAAAGCACATATTGCGGTTTCTGGAATTGTGCCAGGTGTATGAATTATTATCATCTTACCTCTTAGACAACATAGAAATTGATATTATGCAAAATAAATGAACACACCTATTTTTTTTTTTAAATGAGTGCACCTATATGGTCAATAAAAGGCGTAACTCACACTTAGGAAAATATATCCTTGGTGTGATTTACAAATTGTTTTCAAGATCTACATTATAATAATATGTAATTATGTACGGTTAGTAGTAATAAAAGCTCCGACGAGAAAAGAAGAATTGTCTTTACTGAAAATAACTTTCCGACTACTTTTGTCAGAACTGTTCCGACAAGAAAAGAAGAATTGTCCTTACTGAAAATATTAAATCTACTGCCTAAAATACTAACTTTCCGACTACTTTACATGATTGTTTATTGCTACAATACTTAACTTTTTTTTTTCTTTTTTTTTTTTTTTTTTC